TCTAAGCTGCTTGGCTCAACTCGTCAGACTCCATCCCAACATTACTACAAGTCACCGTCATATAAACCAGTCTATCTACTGGGAGTCGAGAACTGGCCGAGAAGGACAAGCCAAACTGAGCTGCAGACTGACAGGTGAGTACGTTCTGGGTGTCTATGCACTGAGCCACGAATGTCTCAGTCAGCAAAAAAAAAAAGAAAAGTACTGTAATTTCCGGACTATTGAGCGCACTCAAATATAAGCCACGCCCACTACATAAATAATAATAATAATAATTTTGTACTTGTATAGGTCGTGCTCGTCTATAAGCCGCAGGTGTTCACATTGTAACATGAGATATTTGCACAGAATTTTTTTTAAAACTTTTAATTACGTACTGGTAACATACACAAAATGTACATTAAATTGTTGTTTTTTTTCTGAACAGTGCCTGTAGCACGGCTGATTAAAAAAAACCAAAAAAAAAACCAAACAAACAGTAGCTTACCAGGAAAAGTCACTCATCTCTATCTACATCTTCCTCCTGCACAAGCTTGTGCTGTACCCCATCATGCAGCTGCCTGCATGCGTTTACCAGAGCTCCCAGTGCCATTTTAAATGCATGATTCACAATTATTTAGAGTGGCTGTAAATACCTCAAAACAAAATTTCCCCCCTCTCAGTTTAATTGGTCCACTGTAATTTGTTCAGTAATTTCATTGGTCATATATATCTCTCTCTCTCTCTCTCTCTCTCTCTCTCTCTATATATATATATATATATATATATATATATATATATATATATATATAGATATACACACACACAAAGTATTTCATCCATCCATCCATTATCTTTACCCGTTTATTCCAATTCGGGTTACGGGGGTCACTGGTGCCCATGTCCAGCAATCACTGTGCGAGGGGCGGGGTACACCCTGGACAGGTCTCCAGTCCATCACAGGGACACATAGAGACAAATGAGACAAACAACCATTCACTCTCTCACTCACACCTAGAGACAATTTAGAGTTACCAATCAGTCTAACATGCATGTTTTTGGTCTGTGGGAGGAAACCGGAGTACCCACGCATGCACGGAGAGAACATGCAAACTCCACCCAGAAGGCCCCTGGAACGGGGTTTGAACCAGGGACCTTCTCGCTGAGGGGCAGCAGCTCTACCAGTTGCGCCATCATGCTGCCCACACAAAGTATTTACCTTTATTTATACAGGTAGTCTCACTGACTCACGAGGATCCACCCCCCAAGAGAGAAGTGCATTGAGCAGCTATGTGAGCACACGGGTGTGACAAGTCTAAATGTTTTGGTGGTATAAAGTTTGTTAGCTTGTCAAAATAAAATCCATAAATTAGCCGCAGCATTGTATAATCCGCGGTGTTCAAAGCCTGTGAAAAAAGTAGTGGCTAATAGTCCGAAAATTACGGTAATCTGTGTGGAACGGACGAACGACCAAAAGGTTTCAGACATACGTACCTCTGCCCACCCTGCTTGTTAAAGGCGCAGGCTAACGCCACCACGTGACCGGTGGCCCTGCTGACCAC